CTTGATCCACCTCCTATATTGTGACAAATATCTCGCCTGTAAAGTTGTTTCGAAATTTTAAGATAAAGTGTTAATTTCGGTTATTCATGCTGCCTCCGTCGGGGGAGGGGGAGGGGGGGGGGGGGGGCTGTTGCTCGTAACGATCCTGAGGCGATAGTGCAGACCCATTTACGGGGGCGCGGTGAAAGCCAGAGGTGTGGCACACATCCTTCAACAGTTCATCCGTCATATCACTGAAATAATATTTCAACGGATTAACGATTTGTTGACGCCAACGCCATTCACAAATCGTTAACTTTCATGGAATTTTCGCCCTTTAAATGGAGTGTTCCACATTTGTTCGGGGTTTGAAATTGAATTGGCCACTTCGAAGATTATTCTATGCAGATCATAATCTGCCCTTCTAAAGGCCTAAAGACTCCTAGTTTCTGAGGTACACGGCCGCGAAGATGTGTAAACATTTCAAAGTCATTCAGGTATGCATATCACCATAGAAACGAAATTTCGAATCCTGCAATTTCATAGGTCATTCCAATTCACCTGCTCGGACAAGCGGGACGTCGCGAGGATTCAAGATATAGCGAGAGTAATGAAAAGATAATCCGGCCCGGATTCTAGTTTGGAATACAGACCTTTCGATCACAAATCGCCATTTCAGAGCAGTGCGAAGAATAAAGAAAAATGATTGCCGGTCGGGCAAACTAGCATGCGTTTGAGGGAGGGAGCCAACCGCTAAGCTTTCACCCTCGCATGTGCGCTAAGTATCCGGCTGCGGCCCCCCCTCCCACGGGACCTCTCGGCTCACTCGCAGCTAACGCATGCAGCCTACCCCAGACAATCAACACACCACGACGATACAAAGAAGATGGGAGATGGGGACGAATGCGACGGGGGTCAAGTTTTATTCTACATAATATAAAAAGTTGGACATGATAGCAGTTATTACGGAAACTAGACATATAATCGAATAACTCCAGAATGGCGTCATAATCGAGTATGTGAATACAAGTACACATCTTAAACTCACGAATAACTACGCAAGAACATCACGAGGAAAAGGCCAAAACACGAGCATACAACGGTATCTGGTTCAGCACACTTCCAGCACCTCCACCGCCACCTCTCGAGAGATTGGAATACTATAAGAGAGTGCTACGACGGCAATTTCGGACGGCTAGTTTGGCGGCACCTCGTCATACAAACGTTCCAGTACGCAGCCAAACAATGACGGTCTAGAGCAGTCATCTACAATTAGAGTATACCTAATAGGTATCAGGGAGCTTATTCCATATCTCATGTTTCCTTCAAAATCTTCAAATTTCGAACAGTTCCTTTCACTTAGACATCGTTTCGAACACTCCCTTTAACTTAGAGATCGTCAAGTTTTTCCAGCATATTTCGATTGCGTATAGAGTGTTACGCTTTGCATAAGCGGTAGGTGGGGTTCCTTCGCGTGGGGGATTCAAGGGCTTGAGCCTCGGGGCATGAGCTATGGGGAAAACGCTGGCTGGCGTTGAGTTTCATGGTGACACGCATGGTGGTGGGCTGGGCTCTGCATTCTGGTACCAGGGGCCAGGGGCGCTCCGCCTTCTAACTCCCCTCCGTCTAATAGGAAACTACATCCTTTAGGACTAGCTAAGCCGAGTATCCTATTATCTGGCAACTGTATTCATTACTCTCAACCGTCATTGTTTTAAGGAACGCACCCAACGTACCCGCACCACACGCACGCACGCACGCACGTACGCACGCGCGCGCGCGCACACACCACACACACACACACACACACACACACACACACACACACACACACACACACACACACGCACGCACGCACGCACGCACGCACGCACGCACGCACGCACGCACGCACGCACGCACGCACGCACGCACGCACGCACGCACGCACGCACACACACACACACACACATACACACACACACACACACACCACACACACACACACACACAACACACACACACAAACGCGCACACACACACATACGGACGTACACCGGCATTATGTGTTTTTATGAACACAATTGGTTACCAGAAGTGCTTACGGGTTCACTTCGCTACGCGACGGAGCTGACGCTGAGCACGCATAGAGAGATCTGCGGCGACCGGCCGAGCCTGCACCCACCTGCAGCTGGGCGTCACTGTCCAGCGTCAGCCGCTGGCAGCGGTGCAGCTCGGCATCCTGCGCGCGCCGCGCCGTCTCCTGCTGGGCAGCGCGCGCCTCCACCGTCTCCAGGCTGTGGCGCAGCGCGCGTCGCTCCTCCTCCTGCTGGCTCTCCTGGCTGCGCAGCATGCCCAGCTTGTCCTGCGCGGGCCGCCAGCACCGGGTCACACGGGCAAGGGAAGGAGGTGGGGTGAGGGGGGGGGGCGTCACTGGTCATGGCTCGGTGCTGCGCGCGGGCCACCGTCGTGACACGCCGATGGAGGGTGGTGTGCTGCCTGCCTGATCATCTCCGCGGCGCCGGCACGCCAGCACCACAAAGAGACGGCCGGACCCGCAGCTCGATGCGCAGCCAGCCTCACAGGCTTCAACGAACAAGTCGGCCGGCGGACTGCAGTGAGTAGCGCCGCCCAGACACCAGTGCGCAGTCCGTCCAGCAGCCTCACCTCCAGCACCTCCTTCTCCAGCTGAAGCTTGGTGTTGGCCGTCTCGAGCCGCACCAGCCGTTCCTGCAGGGCCTTGGTCTCGCGCTCCCGCTTCTTGTTGGCCTCCTCCTGGCATGTGGGGGAGAGGGAGAGAGCGGGGCTGGTCAGCGAGGCGCACAACCCATCGGCGGCGGGAGGACCGCCTGCCACCCGCCAAATGGTCAGCCAGGACGGTCAGCCGTTAGACCGCCCGAGACAGGCTCGCCGGGACCAGGCGCACATGGTCGAACAGAACACGCAAAACTGGCGCACAATCGTGCGCGGTGTGAAACAGCTGACAACCACGGGAAAATGCGAGTAGCAAGGTGACGATACCTGACACCGATACTACGGTGATACCAATGACCGCACTCCAAATTTGTCGCACCTCTGGCTTGGACCAGAGCTTTTATGTGCGAGGCACATCTTGCTGTGTGTGCTGCCAACACCCAGTGATTGAAATTCCAGGTCGGAAGATAATTTTCCTCCAGACTTTCAACACGCCTGGACTACGGACAGACTGTAGCGCCATGCAGTGCGGCAGCTCCGTCCGGCGCCAGAACGGCCGGCGGCGCCGGCACACGGCCGGACGGCGGGGAGTGAGCAGAGAGTAAAGAGAGAGGGCAAAACCTGGGGAGTGACGTCAGCCCGACAGGGGACGCCGGCAGCGGCCGCGCACCTGACTGCCGGCCTGGGCGCGGCCGGCGGCCAGCTGGGTCTCCAGGAGGCGGCGCTGTGCCTGCGCGGCGGCCAGCTCCTGCTGCGCCCGCTCCAGCCGCTGCTGCGCCTGCCGCTGTCCGGTACCGCGCTCCTCCAGCTCCGTCTCCAGGCTCTGGCAGCGCGCCGTCGCCTCGTCCTGGGCATGAAGCTGCGGTTAGCGATGGCGGCGGTGGCGGCCGCGCTGGGCTATACACGCACGTGGTGGCACGGCGGGGAATGGACACGATGCCTCGCCAATGCCGAACACCACGGCCACGCGGGTCAACCGTATGCTCACCAAAAGATGCGCTCAGAGCTGTAAAACGCGACAGAAACTGAGCATGCACAATGACCGCGTGGCGGTAAACACACACACACGGCCCCAGCGGTAGTCCTCAGTACGTGTTCTAGCTTAGACCACCGCACCGCTGCCCCCACCAGCCGCAAGCCACCTGGTCGGCGCGATGGCGGCGGTGTGGCGCCCCGGGCGCGGCCTCACCCGCTGCCGCTCCACACGCGCCACCTGCTGCATCAGATCCTTCAGGCCCTGGCGCACAAACTCCGGGTCGACGTCGACGGCGTTGGGCGGCGGGCCGGCCGGCGCCGCGTCCAGCAGGTCGGCTGACCCTGCCGCCGAGACGGATCGGGTCAGGTGACGACACACTGAGCCATGGAGCGTCTGATCTATTCCGCCGGCGTTCTCGTTAATTCGTCTGCATCATCTGTTTCGGTCTGACTCCCTGTTTTCTTTCTCCAGTAGAGCAGGGGCTCACAGCCATAAAGAGCGACATTTGAGCCTCTACTCAGCTTCGGGTCTCGTAGTAGATCGTGGATTACGACTCCTGGCTCTCCACTCGCAGCACCACCGATCCGTCCAAGTAGGGGGGGGGGGGGCAGCCGGGAACACACCCGGGCGTCACCACGGGGTCGGAGGTAGACGGAGCGGTACGTACCAGCGGAGGGAGTCGGGTCCGGCGGGGGACTGCTCTCTTCCATCGAGATAATCAGAGAGCAAAGCTCGTCTTGAGTGATGGACAGATTCGGGCTCTCTACGTCTAAAACCAAATATATACACATTCAACGTCTTAAACCAAATACACATACACATTCATCCATCACTAAAAAGTAACTCCAATGAAAACGGGCGCAGACTGGCAGCGAAGTCATGCATGGCTGAAAGCAAATCGTGCGACAAAAAAGGCCACAAACATAAGTAATCAGACAGCACTTCCGCACACACACACACAGCTGTATCGCAAAATAACAAAACGTGAGCTATTAGCAACACTCGGCACGGTGGAGCCGCGCCCCTCTGCGTGTGGTGGTGCCCAGGCGACGGTCTGCCGGCCGGCAGTGCGTGCGGCGCCTGACCTGCGGTGACGGGCGGAGCAGGGCGCCGCCAGACCGGGCCGCCGCCGTTGCCGCCGCCGTCCAGCCGCATGCCGACCACGCGCCGCAGCGACGAGTACAGGGCGGCCAGCTTGTGCTCCAGGTCACGGCGGGTGGCCTCCTGGCGGCCGACCTGACCCTCCAGCGTCTCCGCCCGGCCCTCGGCCGACAGCAGCTTCAGCTGCGGCGCCACAGCCACAACAACGTCAACGGTCGGGAAACAGCCGCACCAGACAGCGCCAGCCAGCCAGCGGTGGACAGATCATGAACTAAACCTGCCGGACAGGCCTGGACTCCGGGAGCGCGGCGTTACAGCCGATGGCGACATGAACCCAGCCCATGCTGCGACCGGCTGTGTTAAATTTCTTAGCTTAGTCCAATCGTTGGTTGTCAACGAGTGCTCCAAGTGCGCAACTCCACGCAAACACCGCATCACCTGCAGTGCAGTCGAACCGCCAGGCTGCGGTCAACGGGCGGCGGCAGGCCACCAGGCGCACCTTGAGGTCGGTGGCCTCCTGGCTGGAGGCGCTCAGTCGGATCTCGAGGTTCTCCTTGTCCTCCTCGAGCCGGTGACCGGTGGCGCGGCACTCCTCCAGGGCGGCCGAGAGGTCCCGCTCCCGCCAGCGCGCCTTCTCCTGCAGCTCGGCCAGCCGCCGCTCGGCCTCGGCCAGCTGCTTCTGCAGGCCCTCTCGCACCGCCTCCAGGTCCCGCATCTGTGCAGAGCCGCACGGGCGACGGCAGCGTCACATCAGCTGGGTGCGCTCCGAAAGCAGCGGTGAGGCCAGTGAACGCCATCAGTGACATCTGGGCTCGACCCCGCCTCACAAATGATTTCAGGCAGTCGTCACTTCCAGGAAGGCAAAAAGAGATGCCTTGGAGCAAATGTTACTCCTTAATCCGGCTCAGTGCGGACCGGACACTGGAGCACGGAGGCCGTCCACGTAGTGGTGCCTGCTCATCAGACCATAGTGAATGACCACGGAGGGCCCGGCAGACCCAGCGCCCGACAAACGGCCCATCACCCATCCGAGCCGCAGCAGCGACAGCCGCCCACCTGGACCTGCAGGTTGTGGATGTCGTTCTTGTGCGTGTCGTTGGCGTCCTGCTGGCGCGCCAGCTGCTGCCTGCTGTCAGTCAGCTCGGTCAGCCGCTGCTGGTTGAGCAGCTGCAGCTGCTTGGCCTGGTGGCGCAGCTCCTGCAGCTCGCGCGTCGACTCCAGCTGCGCCCGCTCCAGGTCGCGCAGCTGGGTGCGCAGCTCGTGGCTCTGTTTGGCCGAGCTCTCCTGCGCGCCGTCCAGAACTGCGCAGCGCGCCGGTGTCACGTGACGGGAGACAGCACGGCTGGCGTTCGCGGCACCGTGACGTCACTCGCAATCTATCACCGAGGCCGTATGCCGGCAGACCCGGGCCGGTTCAGGGCCCTCACGTGACGGACGCGTGCCGCGCGGTACGGCGGACGGGCAGTCAGACAAGAGTCGGGACCTTCTCCGTGGGTTTGCGCCGGGGTGGTGCCAGGAAGCCGGATGACCGACAGAACCGCGTCACGAGCATGCTCGTGGGCAACCCCACCGGTCTCCGGAGGCTACAGTCCCATGTGTGGACGAATGCGGAACACGTCCATGTCTGTCATGATGTAACATATAGTGATTACCGGCGGACTGCTATTCTCGGTAAGGGCTGGACCTGAGATCGCTGGTTTTGATTGCGGGATTACACCTTATATTCTAGAAGCTGTGGCATTTTACACACAGGCGTGGTGCGTGAAATTTACGGGCGATTGCAGCACAACGGCGGATAAGCGATACAAGTCAAATACACTTCACATATTTGGGTTATTTTGAATCCAGCTTCCTCATATCAAGCAGAAGGTTACCTACTGAACCAAAAACACACTCACTGCTTATTCTCTGGTTGGCCTCGTCCAGGACCCGCTTGAGTTCACCCTTCTCAGCCTCGAGCGGTTTAATCTTGTCACGCAGCTCGCCGTTAATGCCATCTAGCGTTGCCAGCTCATGTTCAGCCTCCTGCAAAGCCCGCTTGGTGTCCGCCAAAGAACGGTTGCAGTCAGCGTTCTGGGTCTCCGCTGGAACGGAATACATACATGTGGAACAGAGCCACGAGGCTGAAAGCACCGAGCGCAAGTAAAGCAGGGCCACATTGATGAATCAGCCGAAGACGAGTGGATCCACTGGTGGATGATCATGTTTTAGTGGCGCCGCGATGTCTTGCAGACAGGGGCTCCCAAGCCCGGCGCATCTATAGGGCCCCTGCTTGCATCAAACCTAACATAAGATACCATCTAATGCATTATCAATGTGCCGTCACAGCGCACAATGATGCGCCAGTGCATGACGCACTGATGTATTACGAGTGTCGTGCACTAGTTCACCACTGTAGCCGATCAGGATGTGCGTACCATTGTCCGCGCCGTCATCACTTTGATTTTCCTTTACCTCAGAATACCAATGCCCAATTTCGGCTCCGCCGAATGGATGTCTCCACAAAACATGATCCTACAAAGGAGAGCACTGTTTCCCCCCTTTAGGGGCCTGCTAAGCAAAGCATATGCGACCCCCGCAGCCACCTTCGCTGAGCTTGCGGTTGAGTTCGGTGAGGTCACGCTCCAGCCTGTCGCGGTGCTCCTCTGTGACCTTGAGCTTGACCTTGACCTGGCCGTGCGCCGCGTCCGTCAGGTCACGCTGGCGCTGCGCGTCCAAGATCTGATTGGAGAGTGACGCCACCTCCTTCTCGTGAGTGATCCTGCCGGAGAAAATAAGTACAAATACTTGGCCTGCGAGAAATACTTGGCCTCATGGCAGTCAAGTATACGTACAAAAAAGTGGCAGACTGCAGTAGAATATTGTAGCATCTAAAGATCGTAACGTATCAACATAGAGCCGCAGTGACACGTTCTCTTTCTCGCTTGCCTCATTCGGCATCCACACACGAGTCCACAACCCTCCAGGACCCCCGCCGCCCTCTCGCCGCTGCCCTGACATCAACCTGTACAATATCCACGATAGGCTTCAGCACAAGCTGCGCGTTTCTGTTCATATCTGATTACACCCAGCTATTCAGGAACCAAAGTCATCGCCCTAAAGGCCGGCCTGTCCGCGGGCCCAGTACGCCGCCCTCACGCCTTGTCCTCCATCTGCGTGCGGAGCCGGGAGATGTCCGTGTGTAGGGCGCCGACGCTGGAGCGAGACAGCTGGCCGTGCGAGGAGGCCTCGCCCCGCAGCCGCTCCAGCTCGGCTCGGTGCTCCTCCAGCTGCTGCTGCGCCTGCTGCAGCCGCTGCTGCACCGCCTGCTGCTCCTGCTGCGCTACATACGGACAGTCCAAAGGCCGTCAGCGGCAGCGGCAGCGGCGGCGGTACAAGGAGGTACGGCACGCGGATAAACTCGGACAGAGTGGGGAGGAACAGCGCACAGGAGCACAGACTGGTAAACATATCAGTAATGTCACAGAACAGGGCTCCAAACTGCAGGAATAATGCCACAGCGCGGGAATGTAGCAGCGCAGAGAAGGCTAGAGCACGTGGAAGATCAGGGCAAAAGGCGACAGAGTTCAGGCATGCACAACGCAGGGGCTCCTGAACACATGGCATAAATCACCGATGATCCAAAACACAGGACATCGGTCTGCACGGAGACACTATACCTTGCACCGCAACTGACAGGGGTGTGATGAAAGGAGGACAAGGATAAAGGTCACGCACCGAGCGTCAGCGCCTGCTGCTTGCTCTCCTCGACGGCCAGCAGCTGCGCCTCGCCGGCGCGCGCCTGCTGCGCCAGCTCGCGCTGCAGCGCCTGCACCTGCTGCTTCTTCTGGCCGAGCAGGTCATCCTGCTCGCGGCTCCAGGCATGAGCCGACTTCTGGAGCTGCGACTCCAGCGCACGCACCGCCTCCTCCTACCGCGGTGAGGGGTAAGGGGGGCGTCAGCGGCCGCCGGCGCTCAGAGCTCGTCAGCGACGCCCCGGCGAAGCGGCCGCCACACCGAGGACCGGGACGTGGCGGTCGTCGGCGCGCAGCAGGACACACCGGCCAGACACGGTGCGAACAGCCACCAGGGAGACCCTCAGACGTGGCTCCTCTGGCACGCGGGCGGATGAATGCTCCAGCGGACACCCAGCGTCTATCCCGTGCGCCCAAAAGCACGCGCGCGCGACGCGTTGCAGAAGAGAGGTACCCTATACATAAATAGGCCGAAGGAGCACAAGAGAAGGGCCGAGGAAAGAGAGAAGAAGTCACCTTCTCGCGCGTGAGCCGGGCCGCCTCCTCATCGTGCTGGTGCTGCTGACTGGAGAGCAGACGGGCCTGCTCGGTGCGCACCTCCTCCAGCCTGCGCTGCAGCTCGTCACACTTCTCACGCAGCTGCCCTGTGGCCAACAGGCGACGACCGCTCAGCTCGGACAGGCGGTCACAAGGCGGGCTGGCCACGGAACGTCTGCCCTCATTACAACACACACCTCCCGCAGCCCCGGCGCAAGGTGACCGCCGTGACCGCGGGCAGACCAATCACGCAGGATGGACAAGCGTTTGTATTCGTTCTCCTCCCAGACCCTCCTAGGTCGAGAATGTGAATGTTCTCAATTCAACGTCAGCTGCTACGTCCGTCATACATTGCTTTACCGGCGCTCACAGTTTTAAAACACAGACGCCCATGTAGAATCAAAACACCTGAGACAGCACTCGGTATTTCTGTACTGTTGCCGGCAGCGCGCGCACCATTCGCACGACATCTCGACTCACCGCCCTCCTGGTCCATGTCCCGCCGGGCGAGGTTCAGCTGGTTCTGCACCTCCTCCCGCCGCAGGGTCAGCTGTTTGTTGTCCTTCTCCAGCTGCCGGCGCGCCGTCTCGGCCGCCTCCAGAGCGCAGCTCTTCTCGTAAAGTTGCATCTGCCGACCCAGTCCACGTCTGTCATCCGGTATACTTGTCCATGACGAATAAAGCCCCTAATGACATTCCGGCCTGTACGCCTTTCCCCGTGAAAACTTAAATTAGTCTACGCCTCCGCCTGAGTATAGATCACGGCTCATCACAGCATTCTAAGACATATATCCCTTTGAGCGACGCCGACAACTTGCGCCCACTCCTTCGAGCACTCAGCGACTGGCACCGTGAAGAGCTCGGTGCGCCTGTCGGCCATCGCCAGCGCAGTCTGCCTGCGACTGGAGCCTTCGAGAGAGAGGTCGGCGCCGGGCCGCCGCGCTCGCCGGTACCTCAGCGTGCTGACTCTCAGCCCTCACGGCGGCCAGCACCTCGCGCAGACTGGCTTGCTCCTTCTGCAGGGCCGCGTGGCGCGCCTGTGGAGCGGGCCGCGGTCAAACCGAGGCGCGCGCCCACCCGACACGGCGGCCGAGCGCCGCCAGACCGCGGCGCGGCTCCCCCATGACCGCACAGAGACGTCACAGGACCACCGAGCCCTCTGACCACACAGCGCTGGTCGGTCGGATATCGGGAGACACAGTGAGCACACGTCACATCCCGCGTCCAATCCGCTGCGTCGTTCCACCGCGCCCGAGGAACAGCGAGCACAGAACCTCACGCCTCTCTTCTGCCAACCCCCCCCCCCCCCCCTCCCCCATGACGCCTCCTGTCCCGTCTCCCTGACGGACCTGCAGTTCACCGGAAGCACGCGCCAGCGTCTCGCGCTCGCTGGCCGTCCGGTTCATCTCGGCCTTGGCGCGCTCGTAGTCGAGTCTGGTGCGCGACAGCTCCTCCTGCTGGGCGGCACGCTGCCGCTCCAGCGCCGCCAGCCGGCTCTCCAGCTCCGACTGGTCCGCCAGCAGCTCAGACACCTGGTCATCCAGCTGCCGGACAGGGAGGGTCACACAGCTGAGGTCACGCGGGGTCACGGAGCTGAGGTCACTCGGGGTCACAGAGCTGAAGTCACACGGGGGTCATGGAGCACAGATGTCACGCTCACACAGACGTTTGGCCATCGCCATGGTCGCCACGGGCCGTTTGGCCGTCCCGCTGCTGGCACAGGTCATGTCAGGTCGGTCGAGGAGCTGGAGGATCACGAGCTCACACATCTGGTCAGGCGCTCGAAGACACCGGGTCATGTCAGGTGACGGAGATGAGGTCAAACGGTAGAAACCGCACACACACCACACTCACGAAGGCTGGAAACCCACGCCATCAGCCCAGCTGAGGCAGTAAACGCGCCCTTCAGCGTTGCAGCGGGCGCGGTTCGGACAAGCCTGGTGCGGCTCGGACGAGCCTGGAACGACTCGGACGAGCCTGGCGCGACTTACACAAGCCTGGCGCGGTTCGAACAAGCCTGGCGCGGCTCGGACGAGCTTGGCACGACTTGGACGAGCCTGGCGCGGCTCGGACAGGCCTGGCGCGGTTCGAAAAAGCCTGGCGCGGCTCGGACGAGCTTGGCACGACTTGGACGAGCCTGGCGCGGCTCGGACAGGCCTGGCGCGGTTCGAACAGGCCTGGCGCAGCTCGGACAAGCTTGGCGCGGTTCGAACAAGCCTGGCGCGGCTCGGACGAGCTTGGCGCGGCTCGAACGAGCCTGGCGCAGTACTGACCTTGTCCCGCTGCTGCTCGCTCTGCGTCAGACTGTCCTGCAGCGACAGTCGCTCGGCCTCCGCCAGCGTGCGTCCCTGCTCCGCCCGCAGCAGCGCCTCCTTCAGCGCGGCCAGCTCGGCGTCCAGCGAGGCGCGCTCCGAGCGTAGCGCCGCCGCCTCCGCTGCCATCTGCCAGACAGATGCGGAACTGACGGATCGGCCGCTGTCGCGGCAGAGCGGCGCGCGCGATCGGCGGAGTCAGCGGCCGTCCGGCGGCCGGCTGACTGCACTAGGTCAGCGCGAGACACGGGGCACACACACCACCGCGGGGGCACGGACCCCACCCCCGGAGGCAGGGGACGGTCCCGCGCCACAGACGGCCCGGGCGCCAGATCTTTGCGTCACCCCTGGAGCGGCAGCGACGCGCGCGCCGCTCTGCCGTGGCCCCGACGCAGCATACCAGGATCGGCCGGCCCAGGCCGGTCAGCTGGCCGCTGGGAAGGAGAGCGCCGCACTGGCAACGGGAGGACGTGTTATGATGTCGCCAGGCGAAACGAACAAGCTTCGTTCCATTTCGCCAGCAGACTGAGGCAATACAAACTTGCCGTTTAGGTGGCATTTTCCACGGGGGTGGCGGGGTCAGGGTCTTCGCAACCTGACGCTCCTAGCACAGACCACAACCCCAAGCACCCCCACATAGCTTTTAATAACGTCTGTCTGGAAGGCGATAACTGGCGCCCGTGCAGCGAGGCACCGCTCCCCACCTGCTCCACCATCTGACTCAGGTCCATCTTGTCCACGCCCAGGCCCTCGTTCAGGTTCTGGATCTTCAGCAGGGCGTCACGAAGGGCGGCCTCGTCCGCCTCCAGACGGGTCACTTGAGCCTCCAGGTCTCCTGGGGTCAGACGGGTCAGGGCGTGACCTGGAGTCAGGTCCTAGCCTGGAATCTGATCATAATAATCACCAAATGACGTTCAATCAGACCACCTATGGAGCAGAGCGGCCAGAACATGACCGTTACAGAATCTGTCATGCTCCAGATCGTTCTGGCGTAGCGCAAGAGTGAAAGTTTGTAAACAGCGACGTAAAAAGTGATCTCTACTGAACTGCATTCCACTCAGTCACCACAAGGCATTCAACTGAGCTTCGTGACTGACATTTCATTAACTGAAAAGCTAGCCGCAGAACCGAACCATGCTCCCAGACACCCGGACCACGCTGAGCGATGCGGCAGCAGCACAGCCGCACCCTTGTCAAGCTCCGTCTTCCCGAGTATGTCGTCCAGTTCGGCCTTCTCCTGCGCCAGCACGTCACGCTCCAGCCGCGTGCTGTTGAGCTCCTCCTTCAGGGCCACGAGCGTCTCCCGGAGCTCTGCCGACCTGGCCGTCTTGTCCTCCAGCAGACGCTGGCTGCGGGCGTTAAACATGACACATCGGATGAGGTCGCCAGTGGACAATGGCTGGGGAAATAAGGCATCAGACATGTACATCAGTAGACACTGGCTGAGGTAATAAGACATCAGGCACTGACATCAGTGGATATTGCGTGACGTCATCACACCTTAGACAACGGCCACGAGCCGATAATAGCTGGGATCATCACACATCACGCATCACTCCGTCGCCAGCAGAACACTTGTAGGGATCGTCAGACCTAAGAAAGAAATCCAACGAGCTGACTGCATACCTTGCGAGGTTCACTCTGGGACACGATCACACAGGATCACCCAAAGTTTTTGTATGTACCATGGCCCCACCAGGTTCACCCCAGTAGAGCGACTCCGATTTAACGGAGGGTTTTTGCCCAAAGATGCTCCGATGTCATGCACTGACAAGGTCCGGACCACAAGGCCTCAGGCTGGCTCCCTCGCCCAGCCTCCAGCCGGGTGGCCAGCGTCCCCTCCCACGCATCCCTGGCGGCGCGAGGTCCACATCTCTCTGGCATACGGTGGTCAGTTACCAGTTGGTGGCTGTGAACCGAGCTACGGGTACACAGACACGCGGAGCACAGCTGCCAGCAGACCATAGATTCGGAAGCACGATAGACATCCAGCCGGGATGTCTGTCGCTGAGCCTTCACGTCATGAGCCAAAAGAAACATAAACTGTTCTCTTATCGCTGCTTAAAACCCCTACAAGTTGCGCTATTCTCTTTACTGACGAGACATGTGGAAGAAGTCCACAAACACACAAATAACATCATTTAGAACGAACCAGACACACCAACATCCTTCCTCAGCTTACTGCTCACCAGGCCGACGCCTAGTGGTCCTGGCCTGAGCAGTGCATGACAACTTAACATCTTTCGGCAGCAAAAACTGTCCCGTACTGTTGCCGATGAGACACGCGGGCACACATGCAGGCAATCTTTCCAGCCCATGTCACTGGTGGACCACACGGCACTTTGTCGGCGTCACCACACGCCGCGGAGGAAGGCGCTCCCTCACCAGTCCTCTAGTGCAGACTTCAGTCTCTCCACTTCGGAGCTGAGGTGGTGCTGTTCGTCCTCCAGAGCGTCCTTCTGCTTCCGCAGCTCCTGGACACTGGCCTGAGCACTGTCGGCCTCGCTGTTGAGGGTCTCACCTGCAGCACCACGTCAGCTCGTCACTGCCTGCTAACAATCCAGGAGCAAAAAACAAAAATGCGTGCCAATTCATGAATAAAAAAAACGATCCCGACTCGACCGCCCACGCTTGACATCTCGCCGGCTGCCTATGGCCAGCCCGCCCCACAGCTCACGTCCTGACCACCCAACTGCCAGGTCAGTGGGCGCCGGCGGTCCTGGCCCGGTCCTGGCAAAAACCCTGCTCTCCCCCGCCCTGAGGGGAACACGCGCTCCCGGTGTGGTAAGCGATCGACACCAACTCAGCCTGCTGGGTCATCGGCGACCGTGGGCCGCCGCGGCACGGAAGCCGAGTGCTCATCTTACGGTCTCATTATCCTGAGCCAACCCCCCGTCCCTCCCTCCAGTGATCTTACCCGCCCCAGAGGCCACATGCCACGCGCGCACGTCGTTTCTTTTATGACACATGTGCCTTCGTGACGATAGAACAAGCATCTCTCGCCGTCTCTCCCTCTGCCTCTCAGACATAGTCACCGAGGAGACGGAGAGACCACGAGCGAGGGCAGGGTCGCCGAGTCTGACCTGCTGCACGAGTCCGGCGCGCGCGCCCTCCAGCTGCTCGCGCTCGGCGGTCAGCGTCACCAGCTGCAGCTGGTCGCGCTCCGCCTGGCGGCGCGACTCGTCCCCGCTCGCGCTCCGTGACCAGCTGCCGCTCCTGCGCCTCCAGCAGCTGCGCCGCAGCCGCTTGCTGCAGTGGTCGGCCTCGGCGCAGCGGCGGCCTAGCCTGCGCCAGCTGCTCCGCCGAGCTTTTCAGCTTCACCTGCCGGCCGGCAGGAGAGGGGGAGGGGAGGGGGTCACGGGGCTAGTCTACAGGTACGACGCACACCGAGCCGCGGGTGCGCGCGCAGGCGGCCACATCAACTCGTGAGGTCGCAGCAGAGGGAGTCACGTGCCCGGCAGTGACACGCAGGCAGCGACCGACAAACCGTGGGATGCTGCGCCGGCCTTCAGACCCCAGACTGACTGTCAGGCTCGTTGTTCCATATCGGCGTTACTCGGCTCTGGTGGCAGGCCGAAAGCCCAGGTAAAGCTTACGGCATCGATCAACTTCTGAAACGTGTTTCTGACCACATAGCTAGGGGTACGAATCCAGGGCCGACCCGTGACCGGAGGGCACGCCTCGGGGGCGTATCCCCAGCCGCCGGCTCACCTGGAGCTCGTGGTTACGCAGCTGCTGCCTGTTCAGCACCGCCTGCACGGCCGCGACGGTGCTCTCAGCCAGCGTGACGGCCGGCACCCGGCGAGCCGGCCGGCGCCGGACCGTAGGGCGTCCTGCCGGTCATGTCGACATCACCTCACGACGACCGACGCAAGTCACGCCGACCGTGTCAGTGGCCGTAAAGCCGACCGTGTCAGCCGACCGTGTAAGCCTAGAGTGTCAGCGGCTGTACAGGTCATGTGCGGACTGCACAGATCCAGCCGATCACTCTTACATACGCAAAAGCGTATAGAAGCCGACCGTGTCAGAGGCTGTACAGATCATGCGCGAACTGCACAGATTCAGCCGATCACTGTTACTCAGGCAGAAGCGACGTCAGGCACGTAGACGGACCGGTCGTGTCAGTCGCACAGACAAACAATGTTTATCAGCGGGACGGGGAGCTGTCCTCACCAGAAGACTGACCTGACCTGACCTGACCCCACGGTGTCCTGACGTGGCCCGACCCGTGGACTGACCTGACCAGGGCGGTGGCCTGGACGAGCACCGGCAGCCGGTCGGCGTCCCTCCCCCCTTCTGCGGCTGCTGCTGCTGCTCGGACGGCTCGGCCTGTGCCGCCGCTAGCTGCGCTACCTCGCGGACGGCCCGCGCCAGCACCTCGCCGTCCTGCAGCAGCTGCTCGTGCGCCTCCAGGCGGCGTTGCTGCTCGGCCGAGCTCGACTCCTGCCGGCCAGCGACGGCTCGTCATCGCACGGGCGCTGCGCAGTCACTGGGTGGTTGGTCCCTGGACAGTCACTGGGTGGTTGGTCCCTGGACAGTCACTGGGTGGGTGTTCACTGAACAGTCACTTGGTGGGTGATCGCTGGACAGTCACTTGGTGGGTGATCGCTGGACAGTCACTTGGTTGGTGATCGCTGGACAGCCACTTGGTTGGTGATCGCTGAACAGTCACTGGGTGGGTGGTCATTGAACAATCACTGGGTGGGTGATCACTGAATGGTAACTGAGCCAGCACCGGACATGCCACCGATGTCAATAAAATGTGCGTGACCTAGCACTAGCTATCACTGGATAGGAGGAGCATGCAGCCACGGGAAACAAACTCAGCACTCACCAGGTTGTGGATGATTTTCTTGAGGGATGTGATCTCCCTCTCTTTCTCCCTGTTTTCTTCCCGGCCAGTGGTGATCTACGCGGACAAGAACGCCATGTTACCGAAGAAAGGTAAGACACGTTTCCGTTGCATTTGTATTGGGTGCTTTGGCAAATGCTTACTCTTTTTTGTAGCTGGAATCAAGAATTACATGAGGAATTGCATCGCCTGATGTCATAGGACATTAGGCGCCGTAGCTTATTAAAAGTAATGCGAAACATTCCAGCGTACTTGGCTGTTGAGCTCCTTCAGCTTGCTCTCCAGCTCTCGCGTCTTGGAGCGGAAAGTCATCTCTTGCTTTTGCATCTCCTGCATCTTCTCCAGCACACTGATACTCGCCGCAGCAGCTGCCGCCTGCGCCCAAGAGCGATGCGTGTTTAGCCGACGACAGTTTCATTACCGAATTAACTGGGAGGTAAGGATATAACCTTCGATTGTCCAAAGACAGGCTTTGCTTGCTCGGTCAAATCCATCCGTCAGATTTGTTCTGTATCTGGTGCAGAGATGCAGCAACGTAAACACAGGTCAAAATAGATGCGCTTGTCCCGCAAAAGATGTTCCAGCCGTTCCCAGGCTACTGTTGCGAGGATCCACTACTGGTCTGGTCTCCTGGCTTTAAAACGTCGATTCTACCATCGATCGTGCCCTATTAGCTGATGCTCCAAATGAGACCCAGTTTTAGAACTACGCTTGACACCAGCGTAGGGCTCGTCAGACAGCTCACTAGCGATGTGATACACCGGCAGCAACCGGACGGGATCATTCACGGAGAAACGTGCCCATCGATGCTCTAAAGCTTCCTCGCCAGCCGTGAGCGCCACATTTCGAGAGTAGTAGCTGCTGATCACCAGGGCACACGCACGGAGACTCACCAGAAACAGAACATTGACTATGTAGCGGATCAACGAGAACATGAACTGAAAATGACGCTTAAAAGGCTGGCAGACAGCAGCGAGAATCAATCCTCCGAGCCCATCCTACACACCGCAAACATCGGCGTCCTCAGCCGCCCCTCCACCGCCTCCCCTGATGGTCGGGCCCGCCAGTGCGTTGTTCCCGTCCTCAGCCGCTCCACCACCGCCTCCCTGATGGTCGGGCCCGCCAGTGCGTTGTTCCCGTCCTCAGCACCTCCACCGCCTCCCCTGATGGTCGGGCCCGCCGCTGACCTGTGCGTTGTTCCCGTCCTCAGCCGCTCCACCACCGCCACCACCCCCCCCCCCCCCCCCCCTGATGGTCGGGCCCGCCGCTGACCTGTGCGTTGTTCCTGTTCTCAGCCGCTTCACCACCGTCTCCCCTGATGGTCGGGCCCGCCGCTGACCTGTGCGTTGTTCCCGTTCTCAGCCGCTTCACCACCGCCTCCCCTGATGGTCGGGCCCGCCGCTGACCTGTGTGTTGTTCCCGTTCTCAGCCACCCCTCCACCGCCTCCCCTGATGGTCGGGCTCGCCGCTGACCTGTACGTTGTTCCCGTCCTCAGCCACCCCTCCACCGCCTCCCCTGATGGTCGGGCTCGCCGCTGACCTGTACGTTGTTCCCGTCCTCAGCCGCTTCACCACCACCTCCCCTGATGGTCGGGCCCGCCACTGACCTGTACGTTGTTCCCGTCCTCAGCCGCTTCACCACCGCCTACCCTGATGGTCGGGCCCGCCGCTGATCTGTACGTTGTTCCCGTCCTCAGTCACCCCTCCACCGCCTCCCCTGATGGTCGGGCCCGCCAGTGCGTTGTTTTCGTCCTCAGCCCCTCCACCAACGCCTCCCCTGATGGTCGGGCCCGCCGCTGACCTGAGCATTGTCGCCGCCGCCGGCGATGCCGTCGGCCGGCGGCCCGACCGGCAGCGCGGCGCACAGCTCGGCGGCGCGCCGGCCCAGACGCGCCAGTTCGCCGCCGGCTCGGCTCAGGTCGCGCTCCGTGGCCAGCCGCAGGTCGCCAAAGTCGCGCCGGAACGCCACCACCGTCTGCCACAGGCGCAGCGTGCGGGCGTGCTCGGCGCTGTAGTACTTGCTGTAGGTCTGAGGGAAGGAGGCTGGAGTTACGCACCTAGCAACCGCTGAGCTAGTGGAAGGTCCGGTGGAGGGAGGCCCGGTGTCAGGTATTGCTGCAGTAGTTACCAAAGGTCTGGAGACTGCGTGTTGTGTATCGTGGAAGTCGTAGTTGAAGGCCTGAGGGGGGGGGGGACCCTGGTGTGCAGGACGCGACGGACCGGAATAAGAAACCTAAAAACAAACACACACCAGCAGATTGCACGCAGTTCCCGGTGCTCTGATAGCTGCTGAGGTCTGGAGACGAGGGGGACCGAGTGTTGGTAAGACACAGGCCTGATCGAGGCGCACAAAAACGACACACCACCGAGTGTTTTCGCCTCGGCGGCCTCGGCTGCGCCCTGCACTAACGCTCCGGTCTCCGTCCACACCGCGGCCCCTGCACGCACACAGGGCGCACTCGACGGCAGCAGATAGCCGCGCTTGCCACAATCTGCACACACGTGTTGATATCGGCGCGGTGAGTGGGCGGTGGGCGGCGGTGGAATGACTCTGAGTGGGCGGCGGGTCCCAGCCCAGGTCTGCCGGCGGCGGGTCCTCTGGAATGACTCTGAGTGGGCGGCGGATCCCAGCCCAGGTCTGCGGGCGGCGGGTCCCAGCCCAGGTCTGCGGGCGGCGGGTCCCAGCCCAGGTCTGCCAGCGGCGGGTCCCAGCCCAGGTCTGCCGGCGGCGGGTCCCAGCCCAGGCCTGCCGGCGGCGGGTCCCAGCCCAGGTCTGCGGGCGGCGGGTCCCAGCCCAGGTCTGCCGGCGGCGGGTCCCAGCCCAGGCCTGCCGGCGGCGGGTCCTCTGGAATGGCTCTGAGTGGGCGGCGGGTCCCAGCCCAGGCCTGCCGGCGGCGGGTCCTCTGGAATGGCTCTGAGTGGGCGGCGGGTCCCAGCCCAGGTCTGCCGCCGGCGGGTCCTCTGGAATGGCTCCCCATGTGTCTGGTGACCAGAGGGCGATTTACTGACCGCAACGCATGGACTCGCACTGCGCTGCATCGACAGGGTAGGGCAGGGCTGGTGCAGTCCCCTCGTCCAGGTCTTCGGAGGTTAAATTACCCCCGGGGCAAGCCGTGGATAGCAGCCAAATTCGGACCAGCTGAGTCTGGCGACTTTAAGTAAGAATTCTGGGCTGTGATGATAATTGGGGTTTCAGGGCGTGCTGACTACTAAGGCCATTTCGCGCCCACAGAAAGATACATTTTGTGTACCACAGTGCTTCTTTTTGGCGATTTTCAATGTATACAGCCGCTGAAAAATGAGCGTTGTTGCTGCCTGTGTTGCGACAATTCAAAACACCACTTGAGGTTACGGCCAACATGTCGTGAACCGAACTGAACCTGCAGGGCGCTACTGCGTGCACAGCCGTCTATGAGCGAAGTAAGAATACATGAAGCAATGACCTCTGATTTTGCATTATCCGTGCAAGGTAAGTAGGGCCCAATCCCAGCTGAGCCAGGTTGCGTCACGGACATTACACAAGCTCCGAAGACTTCGCAACAGCGCATCCATGCCATTTGACCCGACCTGCGCTGTTATTCCGTGAGCAGCACGTCGATGATAAACCTTTAACCCTCAACACCCTCCCTCCACGGAAAAATAAAATAAAACATCGGTATTTTTCGACACACACCACCCACAGACGGATGAGTAAAACAATTAATCACTCACAGCCCGGGAGCAGCACATCACTATGTTCTGGCCTGTGTTTCTTTGTAAGCCTCACGCATGGCATCAGCAGGCATTTGCACATATTGCAGCAACAAAACCAGAAGTAATCCGCTGAACAGGAGACCTGCACAACATTTCGAAGGGTTTGACCTGCAAAGGTCAACCGTAATATGTGCGATTAATCACAACACGCGATTTCTAACGAACAGATTTTCACAAAACTGGTAGTATGCGTTGGGTACGAACACCTCAACGTTCCAAAGAAAACTGAATTGCTTCGGGTTAGAATGACTGTTTACATCCCCTTCGCCTTTTCAGCACTCCCGGTAGTCACCTAGGGGTTTTCGCGTATGCTTCGGCGTTCCAGCACAACGTGAAATATAACCTGGCCAGGTGGCTGGTGGTATCAGCATCATCAATTGGCTTCTAAGCTGTCCCTTACACAGAAGGATAACTCCCATGCCCATACATTGCAGCAGGTAGAAATACGATGCGTTGCCAATTTTTCACAAAATAGAACTTAGGGTGACGTTTCAAACCGTTTATAAACATGGACATTTGAAGACCGCAAGCCGCCAGAACACCGGGTGACGGTGGCCGCGTTTCAGTTGGGACGTTCACGTCCTGCGATCAACGACAGGAAACGGAAATTTCTCTCCCGACCAGAAATTTTCCATCATATCTTAAAAACGGGAGCAATATCGTCCATCACCTGTCCATCCTGCCATGCTGGGTTTGTGCTCTCGTCTTAAACCACAGTGTGCTCGTGAAGCTGGGGCAGAAACGGAAGCAATTCAGATTAGGTTCGTCCAGACAAAAAGGTAAACACAGAACACAAGCGGCATATGTAAAAAACGCCATCACTTGCCTGAATTCCACCAAGTGGATGCACTGGCCATGCCCCAGTCCAACATCGTGCTCGTTTCTGGGTCGTGCTGACAATCCAGAAGGTAGCACAATAATGACCCGATAATTGTTTGATGCGACCAAACTGCGGCACCTGAGCTCCGCGACTGGGCGGGTGGGCCTTTGATTTCGCATTTCAAGTCATGTGATTCGAAATAACACGAGACCAATTGTCTCACGGTGTGTCGAAACGCAGACTCGCTCATACAGTGAATGGTACGTTCTGTAGAACTCGAGCGAAATAGCTTCAACTACAGAAGATCCTACTCACTGCTTAATGTGCGCCTAAAGGTAAACTCACGGAAAAGCAGGCTTATGAAAAACACAGACCAGGCGCTTGAAGCTTTGTTTATCTTCAGATCTCGTCCTCATCGATATATGACAACGCAAAAGAGTATTTGCTTAGAGAGAAGGAGCAGCAAAACCGGGCGCCGACCATTCAGTCCCCTTTTTGTTGCACTTCACGCCCTACTCTCGAGTACGTACAAACAAATCCGACAAAACGGACCACCCCGCTAACCACAGACGTCCCCAGACACACAGCCCACCGGCTCTGGCTCCTACAGTTTCAGCACGCTCTCTCGCTCTTCCCGGCGTCACACCCGGTCATCACCTGCTCCTCCTCCCTCCAGGCGGCTTCCTTGGCCTGCAGGTCGGCGGAGAGCCGCTGCCAGTCGTCCGAGAGCTTCTCGACCTGACCGGTCAGCGCGTCGTTCGCCTCCTGCGCCGCGTCCAGCTGCTCCCGCAGCATGTCGTTCACCTCTGACAGGGTCACACACCTGGGGATATACCCTGACAGGGTCACACACCTGAGGATATACTCTGACAGGGTCACACACCTGAGGACACACTCTGACAGGGTCATACACCTGGGGATATACTCTGACAGGGTCACACACCTGGGGATATACTCTGACAGGGTCACACACCTGAGGACACACTCTGACAGGGTTACACACCTAGGGACACTCTGACAGGGTCACACCTGGGGACACACTCTGACAGGGTCACACACCTGGGGACACTCTGACAGGGTCACACACCTGGGGACACACTCTGACAGGGTCACCACCTGGGGACACTCTGACAGGGTCACACCTGGGGAACACTCTGACAGGGTCACACACCTGGGGACACACTCTGACAGGGTCACACACTGGGACAACTCGACAGGGTCACAACTGGGGACACACTCTGACAGGGTCACACACCTGGGGACATACTCTGACAGGGTCACACACCTGGGGACATACTCTGACAGGGTCACACCTGGGACACACTCTGACAGGGTCAACACCTGGGGACACACTCTGACAGGGTCACACACTGGGAACACACTCTGACAGGGTCACACACTGGGACCACCTACAGGGTCACACACTGGGGACACACTCTGACAGGGTCACACACCTGGGGACACACTCTGACAGGGTCACACACTGGGGACACACTCTGACAGGGACACACTCTGGGACACCTGGACAGGTCACGCACTGGGACACTCTGAGGGTCACACAAGTGGGGACAACACTCTGAACAGGTCATATACTTGGGGGACACACGTCTGACAGGGTCACACATCTGGGGGACACATTCTGACAGGGTCACACACCTGGGGACATACTCTGACAGGGTCACCACCGGGGGACACACTCTGACAGGGTCACACACCTGGGGACACACTTCTGACAGGGTCCATACTTGGGGACAGACGTCTGACAGGGTCACATATCTGGGGACACATTCTGACAGGGTCACACACCCTGGGGAAACATGTCTGACAGGGTCACCACCTGGGGACACACTTCTGACAGGGTACACATACTTGGGGACAGACGTCTGACAGGGTCCACATATCTGGGGACACATTCTGACAGGGTCACACACCTGGGGACACCACGTCTGACAGGGTCACACACCTGGGAGAAACATGTCTGACCAGGGTCACACACCTGGGGGCACTGGAGATAAATGTTGAGGGGTTCAATATTAACCATACTGCGTTCTGAATTCATCCCCCTCGCTAAAATAAGGACCAAGAAAAAGAGCGATCAGGATCATGAATGGAATGACACCTAACCCAACAGCGATTCGGACAGTACCCACACTTTACCACAGACAAAGAAATTCCATAACACAAAAGAGTCGGCGGACACAGCGTTCCAAGCCACATAGTCAAAAGATGTGGTCAGGCACAATGCATCTGCCCAGAAGGCCACCTGTTAACTTTGCTTCGTGCGGGGGAGCGATTAAGGAGAGAGGAGTGACAGAGCAGAGGAGAGGGGGTGTCCACGCCGGCCGTCTGACCTGCTGTCAGCCTCCTCCACCCGGAGGTGGGAATCAGGGGAGCGGGGGGGAGGGGGCATCCGGGCCGACCATCTGACCTGCTGTCGGCCTCCTCCAGCCGGAGCAGGGCTGTCTGCAGGTCGGCCGGGTCAGGCCGGTCGGCGGAGTCGGGCGGCGGCGGCGGCCGGCCGCGCGGCGAGGCGTCCGCCTCCAGCCGGGAGCAGCGCAGCCGGTACTGCTCCACCTGCCGCCGAGTCGCACACAAAGTTACCCCCACACACAGGTCAGCGGGTCGGCCAGGCCTTCTCAGGCGTGAACACATCGTCCAGAGTCTTTTGGAAAACGGCTGAATTGTACTGCGAACTGCACCTGCTGGCAGGATCAGTGAAGGTGATAAAGACGGAGGGGCGTGCGGCCACCACAGGAATGCTGCCTGTTTGTATCTGAAGACGATGGCATGGTGTCAAGTTGGGGTCAAGTTGGGGTCGTTACGAAAAATCCGCTTCAACGATCTGGTCATCTATTCCGACACAGCGCTTCAAGGAGTGTCTCGAAGCATGCACGAAATTCGGACCACCGCATCATATCGCTAAACATAGACGCAACTCCCCTACCTTTAAACTAAAAAAGAAGCTAAATTTCCGTTCCACTTTCGCAATCGCTCCCTCGCATTCACGTCTTGTCTACACGTGGAATGACTCCAGGCCAAGCCAAGCCAAGCCAGCCCCCGCTCGGTTCATCTTCGAGGTGCCGCCCGCCTACTGCTCCCTCGGACATCGAGCATCCCCCTCCCCACCAACAGCGTCAGTCCGTGCTCCTCCCGTCTCCCGCGCCATGTGTCGTGTCCTCCGGCTCTCCCGCGCCGTCCGCCGGTCTTGCCGCACCGGCGGCGGTGGCGACGGCGCGGAACGACCCAGCCGCCGCTCCCGCGAAGTCGGCTCACGAGCCGGCGGCGTGCCCGGCCGGCCGGCGGCCACACGGGCGCGTGACCGACGCTCGGCTCTGCCAAAGGTCGGCGCCGCATCACGCCCGCTGCACGCCCGCCCGGCTCTGCTGCGTCGGAAGGCCGCCCGATCGCTCGAGTCCATTCATTGGCGTCCAGTAGACTCTCCCCTAGCTGATCTGTCTCGGAATGCCAGCGTAAGACGGCGTGAGGAGAGGACATAAACGTAGCATTATAACTTGTTTCTAGTGTTGCGCCGTGCCGTCGTAAAACGGCGTGAGAAGAAGGCATAAACGTTATATGACATTTTGTTTCTCGTGTTACGTCAATCTTTTTGCATACGACAGCGTCCATGCTATCTGTTGGGAGGCGTGAACTGGCGCAAAAACATCCACTTGTAGCTGGCAACCACTCCTATACAAATAAACAACATCAACAAACGTGTAGGCTAAAAATGCATGCCTAGCTTCTGTTTAAATAGGTTAGTATACCTAACACCTCAGACCCTGACTTAACTTTTTGCAAACAGGTTTACGAGATTGAGCGCCAGCTACGTAGTTTTCATGATTCTCACTTCTTGCTGGGAGATATGAACGCGATATGTTTGCTCTAAGCGACATCGACGAACACCGGCTGTCATTACAAACTCTATGCGTGATAGTACGTGCCTGACTGGACCGCATGCGCGGCGGTGACGTCCCTGTTTCTGAGGCGGAGCAGCAGTTGGCCCGGTGCCGCCACCCACCATCACGCCTCCGTTTAAGGGGCTCAAGTTTAATCAATCTAGTTTTGAGGTTTCCGTGTCACGCTCCGGCTGGTATAAGCACCAGGACGCTTTATGTTAAGGTGCGTTTCAGTTTGGTGACTGGCTGAAAAGGGTGAAATGTCGGCATTCAGTTCGCAGAAACAAGCCTCGGAAGTTTTTCTCCGGGTTTCTGATAAGATGAGCGCAATATGAAGGGAGCAGCTTTTCCGTTCCCTGACCCCGGATATCGTACGGGGTGGGAGCTTCTTGTTCCTGAAGACTAGTGATTGTGTAGGCCATTCCCAGTCGATAACGTGTGTGTATGTGTCACTGCTTCCTACCCGAACCAAAACATGTGAACAGTGCCGCACTTCAGACTGGTCCACACGCTGGCCCTGAATTGCTCGGGGAAGTAATGGGTCCGGTAGTCTGCAGGAGTCGGTCGGTCCCGTTAGTGGTTGGCATCCGGCATGACTGACCGCTGGAAGCAGGCTCCTTTGCCGTCGGGGCGCTGCGTGCGACTGGGTTCGTAAGTACCATACCGGCATCAGTCTCCCATGCTGGGGAGGGAGTGCATCTGTGTGGTTGGGATTGGAGCGTATGTGCAGGACAACTAACACAGGACAGCCAGCTTGTGAATTTCCCGTCTTGTCTTAAAGGGAAGGCTCCACATATGAAAATAATGAAGCATCAGCTATGATGAAATAAGTCCACAGCTATTGGTACCCGTTTAAGTGGAAAAGACTGCTCTAGACAACACAAGTTATCTGGAATTGGGAATTAGTAACTAGCCCCTCAATGTGCCATTGTTTGATTATGTCATCGTACCTTGCGCAACATTGATTGGTAACCAATTGACGGTCATTTTATGTGGAAATCGCACTCACGAACGCCAGATATGAACGATTCGGCATCATATTTTTCTTGGCCTTGATCACAGCATGTCCACTGAAATGGCAAAATTTGAATGACATCGTTATGGCGTCAAGGACGCCTGGGTGACCTTAAAATAGTCTCCTCGGAATAGTCTGCACATCTTCGCGGGCGTGAAGCTCAAAAACTACAAAGGTTTAGGTCTTAAGACGGGCAGGACTGTGAATATCACCAAATGATCTTCAAGATGGTTCTTTCATTTCCAAAACCCACAAAGATGCGGAACACTGCCTTTAAGCCAGCACCAAGCTCATGTGTCAGCTGTTTGACTCAATGCACGGTACTGCAGTAACGATATTGGCTGGACTGCTCCGCGGCATCCCCAGTCATTGTTCGCACTGCGATGTTAGGTGCCGTCCAAAACAATGCCATAATGCTGTGACATTCACTCCCCAGACAAAGCATGGTCCCATGTATGTCATGTACCTTTTGTCCGCTAACGATGTAGCTTGGGTGCTAGAAGGCATCGTCGGCGAAGTGCGTAGTCACGCTTACCAACAACGTCGTTGAAACACTGGTGAAATTCAAAATATCCAGACAGGATGAGCCCGAAAAGTTTGAAGGGCATAGCAGAGAAAGGGGCTGAGAATGGCAGTGCCGACGAGGCATGGTGTGTTGTTGCTAAATGTCAAACAGTTGCTTTGCGTTGGGATGGAGTATATAGCCAACTGATCATGAAAGTTTTCGATATTATCAAGGTCACGTTAGATAGATTCTTGTAACATACTCCAGCTCTGTGGAATGCGTGTGCAATCTTTGGAAGAGATTACTGTCCGATTCCCGCCGGAACCCATCTTTTCGTGTACATCACAATCCAGCATCATCTAACCGTAACTTCAATAACCATGCCATCTTTCACAGCTGGAGTACGAAAACAAATATTACACCCGCATAAAAAGCCGTTTCGTCACGTAAACAGCTCTTCCAAATATCTTACAACAGCGTCTCAAGCTGCCCGCATCAGCACTGTCACGTGCTGCCCGCTGGCAACAGCCTGTCCGATCGACTTGGTCCTGACCACGCTGGATGGATGTTCCCTATTCGACGTCGTCCGTGGCGGCGCACCGTTCGGCACTGTCCACTGTCCCCGAAGCCGCGCGGCCCGGCACTGTCGCACCGATCCCCGACGGCGCACTGTTCGGCACTGGCCACTGTCCGCGAAGTCGCGCGGCTCGGCACCGTCGCACCGATCTCCGACGGCGCACTGTTCGGCACTGGCCACTGTCCGCGAAGCCGCGCGGCCCGGAACTGTTGCACCGATCCCCGGCGGCGCACTATTCGGCACTGTCCACTGTCCGCGAAGCCGCGCGGCTCGGCACTGTCGTACCGATCCCCAGCGACGCACTGTTCGGCACTGTCCACTGTCCGCGAAGCCGCGCGGCTCGGCACTGTCGTACCGATCTCTGGCGGCGCACTGTTCGGTACTGTCCACTGTCCGCGAAGCCGCGCGGCCCAGCACTGTCGTACCGATCCCCGGCGGCGCACTGTTCGGCACTGTCCACCGAACGCGAAACCGCGCCGCCCGGCACTGTCGTACCGATCCCCGGCGGCGCACTGTTCGGCACTGTCCACCGAACGCGAAACCGCGCCGCCCGGCACTGTCGTACCGATCCCCGGCGGCGCACTGTTCGGCACTGTCCACTTTCCGCGAAACCGCGCCGCCCGGCACTGTCGCACCGATCCCCGACGGCGAACAGCCCGGCGCCTGCTCGCCGTCGTCTGGCCTCTCAAATCCTCACCAGAGTAACGACAGGGCGATCCCCCACGCATGACCGCTCACCGGGTCATCACGGTGAGCTGTGTCACCACGCCAGCCCAGCAGTGAACAGCAGCCAGCCAGCTCAGGATACAGCAACCGTCTATGGTGTCGCTACACAGCAATCGTCTTTAGGGTCGCTACACAGCAAACGTCTATGATGTGGCTACGCACGCTAGGATACGCGTGCACACGCCTGGGAAATGTCCCGTGTTAAAGCTGCTAAGCCCGGTTCTGTAGTGTATGCACAGAGGCATCCTGTTCGGTCAAAGATTACGTCACTGGCTATGCAGATTACATTGACCTACACTCTCAATGACCGGCCTTTCCCATCCCTGAGAAATTTGTTTCAATGGGCGACGTGAAATTTAAGGGTTGATTTCTTGTCGCTCATTTTAGCTGTGGGGACAGAACAATATAAAGAAAGGCAATAACAATACAAGATTGTAATTACCTGATTCAATTTTCGTTACCTAAAGGCACATTCATCTGTTTCAATGTTATTTTTATTTCACATGGCGGCAGAAGGAACGTACCACGTAATTCGTTCGGTTTGGTTTCCATGAGTGCACTTGACTGTAAGAAATCCTTAGCAAAAGGATACGCTCCTAAAAGCTGAATGGTTCGATCACAATACATGCCTGAATGCGCCACCGTGCCCCCGCCAGATTCAGTGGACTAACAACATCACCATACAATCCCATGAGCTCACGAACCAAATCCGTCGTGCACATACCGATCTCAGCATATCCCGCGTCAAGATCTGG